TCTCTCTCTCTCTCTCTCTCTCTCTCTCTCTCTCTCTTCTCTCTCTCTCTCTCTCTCTCTTTCTCTCTCTATCTTTTCTCTCATGTGCTTTCCCTCACCGCTGCGTGTTCTCTCTCTCTCACGTGTGCTTTACACTCACTCGTGTTCTCATCATGCGTTCGCGCGCAGGTAACCCCGCCGCGACACTGTAGACGGACGATCCGGATGTGTTTGTGAGCAGGGACGGCGGCTACTCGTGGTTCAAGTCTCTCTCTCCCTCCCACCCTCCGTCCCTTCCTCTCTCCCTCCCTCCCCTCTCTCTCTCTCTCACTCTCTCTATCTGTTTCTCTCGTGTGATTACACTCACTGTTACGTGTTCTCTCTCTCGTGTGCTTACACTCACTGCTGCATGTTCTCTTTTTCTCGTGTGCACTGCTTGCACTCACTCGTGTTCTCATCATGCGTTCGCGCGCAGGTAACCTCGGCGCAACACTGGAGACGGACGATCCGGATGTGTTTGTGAGCAGGGACGGCAGCTACTCGTGGTTCAAGTCTCTCTCTCCCTCCCACTCTCCGTCCCTTCTCCTTTCTCTCTCTCTATCTTTCTCTTTTTTGTGTGCTTACATTCACCACTGCGTGTTCTCATCATGCGTTCGCGCGCAGGTAACCTCGGCGCAACACTGGAGACGGACGATCCGGATGTGTTTGTGAGCAGGGACGGCGGCTACTCGTGGTTCAAGTCTCTCAGTGGACCGCATCACTTCGCGATCGCCGACTACGGAAGCATCATCGTCGCCGTGCCCCACAACGTGTCCGGTAACGCCGACACGCTCAAGTGAGAGACGAATGTTCGCTTTTTAGTTTTGGGGGTCGTATGGGTGGGAGGTGGGGGGTGGGTGCATGGATTGAGGCCAGCTAGAAAAGTGAGAGAGACTGAGAAGAGTATGTAGAATCCGAGTGAGTAAGATAGAAAGAGATTAAAGATGGATAGATGAATGGTTGGATGAATGAATGGATTGATGTGTGGATAGATAGATAAATAGATAAACCTGGAACTGATATCATCTCCTTCTTGCATAACTGGTAATAAAATTTGCTTTGCACGAATATTTTCACTAATCGTTAATTGGACAATGCGCAGCAAGAAGAAAGCCTCTCCTGATAACATAAATCTCATTAATCCCTCTAATTACTGGAACAACTCCTGGGAAAGTTTTCTGCCTTGCACGTACGAGCCCGTGGCCCCCTTCCAGGTTTTCGATCGACGGCGGCATGGAGTGGCATTGTTACGAGTTCACGAACGAGACTGTGCACTTCACTGGTCTCCTCACCGAGCCGGGCTCGCGCTCGCTGTTCGTTAACCTGTGGGGATACGACGTCGTGAGCGGCGACTGGCAGATCACGACGATCGACTTCAAGGCCGTGCTGAAGACTGAGTGTAAGCGATTAGGGTTACCCCTTATAATTATACCTAAACTTGCCCTAATATACCCATATGATACCCGGGCCTACAGTGATTATTATTAAATATTTGTGCACACCGTATTCTGATTGTTAGAATTTCGATAAACGGTTTGTTGTGGTGGCTACCCATCGCTGTGAATTATTTTAGTTGGTGTGATATTGGCAGTGACGTAATAGAGAGATCATTCAATGAAAGCCTGACCCTTATGCAAGGCTCGACACTAGCGGTGGCCCGGTGGCCCGGGGCCACCAAAACTTGATGTCGGGCCACCAAAGTTTCCAAAAGTTAAAATTTGGTGGCCCGATCGGGCCACTAAAATTTCAAAGTGTCTATGTGATAAAAATAATTGTTTCTTACGTGCTAATCTCATTCAAAAGAGAGCGAGCAATTCGCGGAGC